GCTCTAAACTCCAGTCGTCTACCTCCACTGTCTCTTCTCAAAGGGCTCGTACATTTCCACTGTGTGTTATGACATGTAAACGCACCGTGAGGGCAGACACGCTCCGATGAAGTTCTTTTCATGTGTTTTGAGAGAATAAACCTGGTTGAGAAATCCTCCCTTTGTCTCGTCGTTCTGCCTCTCTCAGCGCTGCCAGATCTGACTCAATACCAAGAGCACAAAATCCCCCACAATTCCTGCGGTTACAACAACACCCGCAGGCCACCACAGATTTATTCAATGACATCATGATGGCTTGCATCACTGTGTTGCCTGTTGCCATGGGGATAGTGATGACCTCGCTGCCTCCTGTATATGCTCTCCTGTTGTCTGTTTGAACTGTGTGTGTCTGTCTGTCTGTCTGTCTGTCTGTCTGTCTGTCTGTCTGTCTGTCTGTGTGTGTGTGTGTAATGCTATCCAAATGTTTTCCTTAAACTCATATACATTAATTGTATCAGTGTGTTTGGGGATGTTTTTGTGTGTGTTTGGGGATGTTTTTGTGTGTGATGTATGCGTGTGTGTGTTGTGGTTATTCCATGTGTTTTATGGGGGTAATGAGTCTCTGCATGCAAATACTTCTTGTGGTGTGTGTTCACAGAAACAGTGAGTTTGTACGAGTGTGTTTAAATTGAGGTCTGTATTTGTTTGTGAAGAAAAGAGTTTATAAAGTTTCAATGTTTGAATAGCTGAAGGTAAAAAGGTTAACTTATCTCAGTTTCATACATTTCTTCTGGCAATATTGGGCCCCTTACTGCTGAAGATGTTTGAACTCTTTAGTCTTTTCGGCTTTTGGTGTGTTTAGCAGCTATTTCATAACAAATAAAATATAATATTATTTCGTAAAATAGTTATTGATCAAGTACTGCAGCAAAACGTAATTTTGTAGGAATAAGCTGAACTGAATTGAAATCCAGTTAGTCTTTTGGCTTCACTATAAATAAATTAAACGGATAAACATTTTGGAGTGCAAGAATGGTGAATGGACTGTACTTATATCTGTCTTTATCAGGTCTTTTCGACCCCTCAGAACGCTTAACATACTACGAGTCATTCACACAGAGCAGTACCACTTGCTCTAGGGAAGCTAACATTCACACACACACACACGCTCACACACACTCACACACCGTTGGCAATCAGGAGCACCTCAGGGTTCAGTATCTTGCCCAAGGATACATCGACATGTTGACTGCACGGGCTGGGATCAAACCCACAACCTTCTGACTGTGGCATCGCCAAAATCTGACTGATCTTTATTTTATGTTTTTGTCAACAAATCAAAAAGAAGCTGCCCCTCAAAACTCTCTGGCCGTGTCTGTAGCTCTCACAACATTGATTCCTGATTATTATTAATACATAAATAGCTATATTTCCCCCAAAAAACTCCAACAAAGGAGTTCTATGAAACACTTGAATGGATGGTGACAAGCTCAATTAATTGTTTGTGTATTTTCACAGAATTTGATCAGCCTTAAAATATATTTATAGTTAGAAATGTCATCAACCTTAACCTGTTAATACACAATACGCCTAATCTCAAGTAGATCTGTGCACACGAGTACAGTTACTCCCCGAGCAATCTTCTTTTGTGTGTGTTAACCGTTTATCATCTTCTGTACAATTTTTTTTTTAAAAGGCCATGGTACACCTCATAATACATCCACTGGAAAATAGATAAAGGCCTCTCTGACAGGCTGCTATTAAAACGCTCCTCCTTCAGATCAGTGTGAAATGAGAGGATGTCTATTACAGACAATTACAGTGTTTGTTGCGCTTAGTGACGACACCATAACTAATTACAGTCAGCGGCTCTGTAATTACGAGCAGCGACACCCTGAGTCTTTCAGGACTACACAGTGTGTTCCTGTCGCTCTATATGTAGCCCGATATGGACACAATGTACAAGATGATCCATTAAAGTGTAATCATGCGACTCAGAAGAGGACAGGATTGATCAAACAAGGCAGAGAAGATTCTGTGTTATGAGATCCAGATCCAGATGTTGCTCAAACTTTAATTAATGGAGATTTCCAGCGACATTTAGAGTTAACGCTGTCTACATCTGGTTCACATTTCCCCCAATCATTCTGCAACACGGCATGTGATTATATTTACAACAATTTCCATAATTTATTGTTCTGGAAAAGTTGAGATTAAAACTGGCTTCGAGTGAACTGCTGTCTCAGCTCAGAGGAGCACAGAACAGGACCTTTGGTTGTAAATGTGGCAATGAATGCTGATCTACAGTGTTTGTGGGGTGATTTTATCCCCTCAAATGGGACGTGATCAACCGGCTCTGACCAAATGAATGCTTTACACTCCCTTTGAAGGATTACATCAACTATAGGAGTTATTTTAGGCACCCAACAGACGCTGGAGGCTATAGAAGACATGTCTACTTGCATTACAAATGAAGAAAAGAAGAACATCAGGAAGGATCCTCTGCATGATAATGAAAAAATAAGATTAAATTGACAATATTGATCTCACAAAGTGGAAAAAACAGACGTATTTAATGAGATAGGACTGGGAATCTGTTATCATAGCAGCAAAAGTCCAAAAAACAGACTCATAAAGTATGGTATGGTAAAGTGCTTCATGTATTGGTTTACTATAATATGGTTAAATAGTATATGCCTTATCTAGGTATCTTACGGTGGCCTTGAAGGTCAAAACACTATAACATTTCACAAGATACAACAGCAAAGACAAAAACACAACAACATTAACAAGTACCCATACGAAACAACAAAGATTACATTCATTAAATTATGTATTTTCTTTATGTAAAAAGTTATATATTGTATTATCATTTAGTGTTAGGTAAGTTATCGATTTCATGATTTGGTTCACAATGATATTGTTGATTATATGCTTTCTTTTGGGATCCACACTTAAATTCGGCTATCCTGTTTTAGATTTTTGCTCAGGATATTAATAAATGACTTGCTTTTTTTAATAATATTTGTATTTGAAGTATATTGCATGTTACATTGCGTAGGAGTCGGATTCTTAGGATTTGAATTGCCAAATATACGCTGTATGACTTGAAAAATGAAATCACTTTGCTGCGAATCGCCAGCTACTTTAGCAGTTCTGCGCTAAATGTTTTGTTTAAGGACACAAATAGAGACAGGCAGTGGCGGCTGGTGGAAAATATTTTAGGTGGGGCTGTGGAAATGGTGACCAAACAATACTAGGGGGGTCTGGGGGGATGCTCCCCCGGTAAAACAATTGAGAAAATACCCCTTAAATAATGACTTCTGGTGATATTAGAGGGGGGGGCAGGGGGGGGGAAGGACAAATTGAGGCTTAAAAATATGAGAAGACTGATCAATACCTCCATAATCTTCAGTGTGGTTAGCTATGAATCTTCCAAAACTTCCAAACACCTTGTCCTGGACATAGTTTCTACAGTATAAACTGTGCAGTACAGTAGGCCCACACAAACTACAGAACACCGGGGCTTTGGGAACACTCAAAATTACTTATAATGATTTAATTCCCATTTAACCTGTTAAGGGGCTTTTCCCTCATGTTTTTTTTCTCACGAAACTGTGTCTCAGGGCTTCTTAAAATGTAATAAACTATTCATGTGTCCTACTCATTTAACGGGAAGAAACTCAGCTAACTGATGATATGAACCATGTTTACCTAAACAAAACACAAGTCTCACAAGAAGCGTCTAAATGAGCCCTGAGCGAAAAAATGCTAACGCACTCTAGGTATAAATCAATCGATACAGTATACTTATCGGATATGCACAAACAAGTTTAGCTAACAAGATGAGATTCCACAGATTATAGAAATATAAGTATCATCACTGAGCGATCAGAACTCGCGACAGGGGAAGCAAATACAGACATCACACGACGTAGCTTTAGGTAGCAAAACACGGAGATATGCTCACCTTTTGCTGTTATTCTGATCAAAAACGAGAAAAACGCGGCTGAAGGTTAATCCATTGGTTAATCCAATGTGTCTGTCACTTTGAAAAAGTATTGATAATCCATAATTCCATTTTTATGTCAAAAACGAAGTTTTCATTAGCTGCTAATGATAGCTTCCAGAGTGATTGACAGCTTCCTGTTTTGTCTCCTTGGATACGAGTCCAAACAACTCACAGACTGCACCGGGCGCTGACGTAGGCGCCCTGTGACCATCAGATTTGACGACGCTGATTGGCTGAAATTATGTTTTGGCGGCATAGTTTAAAGCAGGGGTCGGCAACCCCTGGCACGCGTGCCAGCATCGGCACGCGGCACCGTAACCAGTGGCACACTAGGAATAAGTGGAATAAGTGTGCAAAAATATTTAAATTGTATTTTCGGATCCTGAACGAGACCGCCGCCAGAGCGCGTCTCTCCGTTACCTGCAGAAGGNCTTCTTCACACACATGCTCTCCAGTACAGGTTAGCTCTGAGTGTTAGCGATGCTAATGTAAACACCAACCATATTACGTCCAAAACAGTCGGGCATTGTTTCTGATAGCAACGTTTCTGATTGGGCCGTGGGTCCACATTTCAGATATTACGTCATATCAGACGCAAATCTGGATCAGCTCCGTTCTAGCCCCGTTTTTAGAGATTTGGGTACGGAGGAAAAGAGAGAGGGTTTTATTTCCTGACGCTGCGTGAGTTCCCCGACACACCGGGGACACATCTTTATGTATAAAAGTGCATTTTGCATGATAGGTCCCCTTTAACTCTATTGTAATATTATATTTGAACTGTACTATGTATTATTTTACTGCCCTGTACTTAAATCAAGCTTTATAATTGTCTGTGTGATAGAGATTATGCAATGTTTTTAGTGTTTGTTGATTGTTATGTAGCTGCCTAAGGACTGCAGATGGAAATGAGCTATTAGCTCAAATCTGGCATAATTCACCTCTTCTCTTTTCTGAGATTAATGTATTTGTATGCATGGTCCTTGTTGAAATAAATACATAATAATAAAACCTGCAGTGTGACTCCATGCAGCTTTGACCCCTCACCTGCGACCCAGCAGCGGTCCATGAGCCCCTCCTTCCTCTCGATGACGAAGGAGAGCGCCGTCAGACCCACAGCCAGGAAGAAGGTGATACTGCAGGGGGAGAGAGGAGGAGGAAGAGAGGAAGGCACTGGATGTTGATTGACTTGGTGTCATAAGGATTCAAAATAATAAAAAAGCTGTTCTACTACTTCTCTTAGTTAGTTTCATTAAGACTGTTAAACACCTGAACTAAGAACATCCATAACGTTCACCTGTTTGCAACTTACAAATGATGTATCACTTGTATATAGACTCTTATGGAACTACTTCTATTGTTGTTGCACTGTGGGAGGAGCCTGTGACCTAAGGTTTTCATCGACATAACTACACTGTAGCTATGTACGAATGACAAATAACAGCCTTGAATCTTGAATCTTCTCTAAGTACGGTGACCTGTGTGTTTGGCATCACACTGACCTGAGAACAGCTCCGGGCGTCACAAAAGTGGAGAAGTCTGTGTTTTGGCTGCCATAAATCGGCTCTTCCATCTACAAGACGACAGAAACAAAGGGTTAAATCGAATTTAATGTCTTTTATTGTTGTTTTGCATTCATGTATATATACAAAACGTGTTTTATGTGCTTCAATATTGGTATTATAATTCCATATTTACCTTTATTGGTAGCGCGACCATGTACGACATACTGCCCAATTTATAATCCACAAAAGACTGCGAATAGAGGACACAATAACAGTCTTTATTGGGGTGAAAGATATTTGGTTTAAGGATAACAAATATATATAGTAATAATAATAATCATATTTATTTCTACCTGAAAGGCTTCGTATACTTTTTTCTGCAGCATCAGTGCAATTTGTTGATCTATACAAAACATAAAGGGCAAACAAATCAAAGGATATTTTATTACACGTAAATACATAATAATCCTAATGGTTGTATGATATTTAAAGCAGATGTAAATAACTACATGCAATGCAAAATATGCCAATAGTACAATATAATTAATGGCAAGACATTTAAAAAATATGCCAGATTATGTCTTCATTCAAAAACTACTTTAAAGGTAGGGTCGGTAAGAATGGACAAACCAGCTCGAGTGCGCTAGAATTTGAAAATACACAACCGGAAGAAA